AAAAAAACAAAAAGCACAGCAAAAGTTTGGGTGGAAACCGACTCACAGGTACTTTTATATTCCTTATTCACTGATAATGAGTTATACTCAAACATAAGTGCTGATTGCATGTCCTTGCTCCAGTAATCAGAAGGACCAACACTCCACCATAATCCGAGGGAGGCTAATGGAGTCTCTGATGCTTTAGCTGAATACAGAAGGAAAACAAAGAATCCTACTATGATTGTAAACAAACTATATATTTTTGACGCATCTCCTTTGTTTTCTACTAACATTCTAGAATGAGATGCTAATGAAACTGCTTCAGCTAGATCAATACCCTTTTGTATGGACAATCCTTTATAAATAAATAATGCCTTCCGTTTGTTAAGCAAAAAAAATTTACCTACCTCAATTGACTCTACCGAGCCCAATCAAAGTAACCACTGAAGTCCAAGGAGTGATCAAATCCATCAGAAAAGCAATTAAACATAAAATTGATTAGGTAATAAAATACCCATTTCATAAATGGAAATATTCAGCCAATTACAAAGCTAAAGAAGTCAATCAACCTAACAAAACTCAAATTCTCCAATGATCAATTACACCTACAATAAGCTATTCAAACTAATAAAATGAAGAAAAAGTGAAAATTATCACAATGGAGTATTCAATCTTAAATCCAAAAGATGAATTGTGAGGACCCTTGTTATCCAAGCTTTTTATCCTAAACTCAGAACTCTCAAAAAATAAGTACAGTCAATAATAATCTTCACATTAATGGTTTTACATTGGTGTAAAATTGAATTTTGCATAAAAATTTTGAATTTCCATTTATGCTCAACGCCTGGCAATATTTGGTCTTAGCGTTCGCGATATTTTGTACAGGTGATGTAATGAACCTTGGGATCATTTCTCTGTTTTATGAATGATTTTCCTGTTTTCTTCTTCGTATAGTTTTCTTATAGCTTGTGTGCGGTGCTACATTGGGTGGCATGCTACCTATGGTGTTCGACTGAGTTTGGTGCAAGTTTTGAGTTTTGATGATTAATGCTTGAAAGAGTTAACTTTAGTCAACATCTAGAGATCCTGACGTGAAATCGAAATTCCATCAATTGCATTAGCTCCAGAAGGGTCATTTGGTCAAGAGTTGGGGCTAGGTTAGGATCGAATGTCGGGGTAAGTCCCTAGTTTAAATGTCAGATCCTCGATTAAGAGTTGGGCTAAGATCCCATTAGTATTGGGTTTCGAAGATTATCGGGATTGATTTTCATGTCAAAAACTAATTTTTTAAAGAATCTTGTCTACTCTTTTTTCAAAAAATAAATATATTTTCTTAAAAATATTTTTCATTCATCAACCAAACTCTAAAAAAAGTTCTTAGAAAAACATCTTATCGTATTATATTATATGTGGGTAGCTCCGAGATATAAAGTTGAATTACCTTTTTATCCCTATACTAAATAAAAATGTTATATTCATATTCTTTGATTATTTTATTTTTGAAAAATATTGATTAGTAAACTTTTTTTACTATTAATGAATTGAGAATATATGAACTATTATGAAAATTAAATAATTTGAACGTTAAAGAAAATGGAGAGACAAACATTAGTTAATGAGAGCAATTAGGTGGATATTTAAGTTGCACATTAACTAAAACATAGTAGCATTACCTTTACATTGCTAGAATCTTTAAAGTTGTAGATTTCAATACAATGAATCTCATAGTTCATATATGTTATTTTCAATGACAAACACATGAAAAGAAGCTAAAGTGACTAAGCAATCATTTAAAGTGAAAGTATTATATAAAGCCAAGAATAATTTTCATTTCCCTCATGTCTCCTCTCCATTTTTATGGGCTCTAAGAGGAGTATATCATTTTCTGAGCAGTTTTTTCTCAATCAATGTTAAAGGTAAAGACTATTAAAATACGTTATGAACGTTGTTGGATTTGTCCAAGAATTTAAGCTATGGATGTTGTTGGATTCGTCAAAAAAATTTCTTAGTGAAAAATATACTTATGGCCCTAATTATTTAATTAGTGAACTTAGCCGCAATCATATATAACTCATTTTATTGGTTAAAAAAAGAACTAAAATAGTTGACTACTTAAAGTTTTGTGAAGATTTTTTGTTGTGTTTAATTCAAATATATCAGATTTGAAGTCTTAATCAAGTTTATATTAGTATTGAAGTTTTTATATCTCTTGTAATTTTAAATCGCTTAAGCTAAGAGTTTACATTTTATGACCTCATTCTATAATTTTATTAGATATGTGTATCTCATGCTTTTCTAAATTTATACAATTTTTTAAAATCTATCTTTCATTCTTCGTGTATATTTTTCATTTAATTTGTATCCTTCTTGCAAAATTGAAGAATTTAAATTAAATAGACTCATAAAATATAGAAAGCTCAAAACATCCTCCATGATAATCAAATTTTTAAAAAAAAAACATCTATTGTGGTTCAAATAAGGTCAAATATAGTTTATATAATTAATTTTTCCCTCCAAATATTATAATCTCTTTATGTTTTTTTTTGATGTTCATATTCTTCCAAAGTTATTATCCCTTCTCCAATAATTATGAATCGACTCTGTTTCCACCTTTCACTAATTTTAGTTTGTGAAATATTTTATAAATAATTTTCTATCTTGACTAATATTTACTACAAATATAATATCCTTATTATTTCTATAAAAAGAATATATTGAGAGATATATAACCCCAATTACATAAAGAATATAAAGTATTAGAAGAAATTAATTATTTATAACAATCTCTTTATACTTTATCAAAATGCTTATAACAAATTTAAGAAAAAAATTTCAAACAAACTTTATCAAAATAAAAAAAATTGAGAAACTTTATCATTGTAGCATATGCAGACAAATTATATTATTTATTTTGAGATGAGGAAAATACCAAATTTTAATAAGTTGTCATATGCCTTCAAAGCATATAGATAGTCGTACTTTGTCAATTCCTTTTTTTTTCAATTTGTAAATTAAAAATGAATTTAGTAAATTATGACTTTTTTTTAAAAAAAAGTTGGGATATTACCCCCACAAACAAAATGTGAGATTGTTATATTTGATTTAGTATTATAACAATAAACTTTATAACGTCTTAAAAGAGATTAAAAGAGAATTGCTAAATTTGATTTAATATTAAAACAATAAACTTTATAACGTCTTAATAGAGAATAGTAACAAAATTTACATATATTAATAATGATATTGTTTTCATCAAACTTGAAATGTATTCATCTTATCTTTCACCATAAACAACAAAAATGATTCACAAAAAATATACAAAGAATAAAAAGTATAAAAAAACACCAACAATAATGAAGAAAATATCACACAAAAGAAATAAAGAAGGAAAAACACTATAAATAAGAGTCATCGACTAAACTAAAATATAACAAATAATATTACCTATCAAGTTTGAATTTTGAATTTGAATTCTCAAAAATAACATTGGCATATACTCATCTTATTTTTCATACAGTAAACAAAAAAAGTTAATGACAAATAATCTAAACATTATTAATTAGGCATAGCAAAATGATAAACTTAAAGAGTAAATATAATCAAAAAAGAATGAAATATTTACCATTGGTAAGGATGATATGCTTTGGTATTTATAGTAATCAATAAATTTATAACTTAATTGTATAATATGAATTAAAAAATATAGTAATAAATAAAATTGTAACTTACATTGGTATTAAGTGTCTTAATTGTAATATAATAATATCTTTAAGAAGAAATATAGAAAGATTTTACGAAAAGGTGATAAATGAAAAAAATTACTATTTTAATTTTGATTATTAAGTGTCTTAATTGTAATATAATAATATCTATAAGAATAAAGAAGGGTTTTAGGAAAAGGTGACAAATGGTGAACAAATTAAAAAAATATCTTAATTTCTACAAAATTTTAAAATTGTTTTAATTTTGCTTATTAAGTGTCTTAATTGTAATATAGTAATATCTTTTAAAAATAAAGAAGAGTTTCAGGAAAAAGTGACAAATAGTGAACAAATTTAAAAAAATCTTAATTTCTACAAAATTTTAAGACAAGGAAAAAAGAAAAAGCACAAAAGAGGGGGAAAAGGATGAAAAAGATTTTGATGAATGGACTTGTGACGAAAATATTTTTGGTGGGCTTGATTAATTTTTCTTATTTTAATGGATTATTTGACTACAATAAGTGGACTTTAAATAAGTATTATTTTGTGAGACTTTTTTAAATAAAATTTTGGTTGGAAAAATACATAGAAGGAAATGAAAATAAAAATAAAATTATATATATATATATATATATATATATATATATATTCATATTCATGTTGTATTTTATAATTAGAAGAAGATGAACATAAATAATTAATCATTTACTAAGAGTGAAAATTAGAGAGATATTATTATGAACAATTACTTTAGAAAAATTGGCATGTGAAGAGTTTTTGTTGTAAATATACCTCCATTAATAAAATACTTATTTGTAATAAATTAAGTAGTACTTTTATAATAAAATAATTGATTAAAATAAATAAGAATGGTTTAAAAAGGGAGAAAAAGGAAATAAATAGGAATAGAGGGTCACTGATATTATACTAAACTTTATTATGGGTATTTAAGGTGATGTTAGTGGGCTGGTTAAGATGATGATAGTGGGTTTGAAGGTGATCTTTTAAATTTTTTATGCATTTTTTTTAAAAAATAAATCAAAATGGAAAGGACCTAAAATATTTTTGAAGTATTGAAAATGGTACACAATTACCTCCATCCATCTATTGGCCCTCAAATGCCCTTCACATCCACCTTTGGGTCCAAATTTACTCCTTCATTAACGGATCAAAATTAAAAATAATTAAATAATAGGTTTTAATTACGTGGCACTCAACCATTGGTTGTAATTTAATTATCTAAAATAATTTTAAACCCATCAATTACCCACCCATTTTAACTAAACCCGCCCCACTTGACCCATTTTTTTTAAAAAAAAACCCACCATTTATCCATTCATGTCTATTCCCCTGGTCGCTTATTGCACTCTACCTGTTGTATGCTTGCTCACAGGAAACTTCATTGCACCTAAGGTTTAAAAGAAAAGACTTAGCTTCCTTTTATCTATCTACACATACACATGATGAACTCAGCAAGAAAGATAACTCAATTCTGTTAAATGTTGTAGCTTGACAACATTGCTAGCCTGTGGTTTTTGTTACTTTTCATTAACAATTTTGCAACAAGCATTCTTAAAATGAGATGGAGTGGAGTCGCGATAGATGGATGGTGGAGGAACGAACAATTTTGGGTGATCGGAGATGTATCAGCACATCTATTTGCTGTGTTTGAAGGTTTACTAAAAGTGTTAGCTGGTGTTGAAACCAACTTCACAGTAACATCAAAATCCGGAGACGATGAAGAATATGCAGAGCTTTATGCATCCAAATGGATAACTCTGCTCATTCCACCAACCACATTGTTAGTGATAAACATTATAGGAGTTGTTGCTGGTATCTCCAATCCTATAAACAACGGATACGACTCATGGGGACCGTTGTTTGGGAAGCTGTTTTTTGCAATCTGGGTGATTCTTCATCTCTATCCATTATTGAAAGGACTTGTTGGTAGAAACCTTACAACTCCAACAATCATCATTGTCTGGTCAATCTTACTTGCTTCAATATTTTTGCTTTTGTGGATTAGGATTGATCCATTTTTGGCGAAAATAGACGGTTCACACCTGAATTGCAGTTCTTCAATCAACTACATGTACGAGATTGAAGTTCTTCAGGTGAAGAAATTGAAGAAGAAGCTGACATTTTCTTCATGAAGAAGAAGAAGACAGTGGAGTCGATGAAAGTTGTGAAAATTGGACGAATAAGGTTTTAGGGTATTTTAATTAGATGTTTTTTTTTTAAATTGGGTCAAGTGGGGCGGGTTTTGTTAAAATGGGTGGGTAATGGGTGTGTTAAAATTATTTTAAATAATTAAATTACAAACAATGGTTGAGTGTCACATAATTAAAAATTATTATTTAATTATTTTTAATTTTGATCCGTTAATGAAGGGGTAAATTTGGACCCAAAGGTGGAGTGAAGGGTATTTGGGGGCTAATAGGTGGATGGAGGTAATTGTGTACCATTTTCAATACTTCGAGGGTATTTTAGGCGCTTTTTCGAAATCAAAAAAAGGAGAAACTATATAATTATAAAATGTTGGCCACTGAAGGGTGCCACATAAGCAATTCTTGATTGAGATTTATATATGTATATAGATTTACTTGCTAGAGCTTAATATGTGCAACACACAACATTAATTTACTGTAAAAGATTCCAGTATATTACTAATTTTACACATATTTCATTAAGTAGCACATAATATATCACTATCTCACTTAAATATTGTAGTTGTACATAGCTTAGTTATTTTACTTAATAAGATTATGTGGTCAGATTAATATACTTTTCATTCTCTTTATTTTTATCTGAAAGGAGATATCTCGTAGAAGTTTGATTAATTGGTGATGGTATCTATATATATATATATATATCTATATATATGTATCATAATTGAAAAAAAATAAAATGCTTATATGTTTACTACATAAATTGTTCTATGCAGTACAAAATATCTTCAAAGTAGAGCAAGAAATAAATAAATAATGGTATTTGCAAATAGTTCTTTGGATATGGGATCTTAGAAACAAAACACCATATAGAATACTTATCAATTTTAAAAAAATTGCATTTTCTATTTTATAACACATAATATAACTTTAAAATATTGTTTATATACGATCTTCACAAAAAATATATTTATTTATATGACCACACACGCGTGGAGCGTATCCAGACACTAGTGTGAGAATATAAGCCAGAAATATTTTAAAGAAGATTATTCACTTACCTATCAAACATGAGAATTAGTCAGAGACCAAGTTGTTTTACAAGAAAATATTTTGTAGGAAAACATCTTATATGAAAAACATTTCCGTTCATACTAAACACACAAGCTCCTACTTTTTCTTAAGGGTTTAGACTGTCTCCATGTGTAGAAACTTTGTTTTCTATGCAAGTCTTCCTAGGATGGAAATTAGGGCTTAGACAGGGACGAGTGTGATAGAAAAAGGATTGACCTATTAAGAAGTTGACTTGCCTTTTCCTGTCCTACTCCCTCGGTCCCATTTTAAGGTATTACCCGTTGACGTGACATTGTGCTTAAAATAAAAGGAAGACTTTTGAAATTTGTAGTCTAGACCAATCCTTAGATACTTGTATGGTTGAAAATCATTTCATTTAGGGAAATAAGAATTTTAAAGTTAAATTATTTCTAATTATAGTAAGGAGACATTTCTGTTGGGACGGATTAAAAAGGAAAGAGTGTCACATAAAATGGGACGCAGTATTTAACATTTTTTGAAAATTTGGCTTATCCCACCTCACTCTAGCAAGCATTGCCCTGTTCTGTTCGTTTACTCTCATTTTCAATTTTTTTTCTCTTTAGTTATCTATTTTGTAATATTCTACCAAGACACCCTTTATTACGAATCAATATTCAATTCAGACTCGATAATCAAAAGAATCATGAACAATTTAGGGATAAGGCAAAAGTACCTCCTAGACTATGATCGAAATAGCAAAGACACAACTTAGCTAAACTAAGGTCCTACTACCTCCTAACTTACTTTTTTAAATGATTTTGTACACATTTTGTCTTATGTGGCACACTTCATGACTCCACACAATTGAGGCGCGTGGAGATATTTGGTTGTCAGGTAAGCCAAAAAGGCGCATAAAATTATAAAAAAAAATGGGTTAGGGGTAATAGTGTGAAAAATAAAGATGATTTTTTAGAGGTACTAAAACATCTTAGATATTTATTAGAACTTTGTAGAATTTGGTAGAATAAATATCTTTGATATTTATACTTAAGAAAATCTAGATAATTAGATATTGAGAGTAAAGTATATGATAATGTAGATTTTGTTAGATATTTAGAAGATAGGGTCATCTAGATTTTTCTTGTCGATCTTTCTAGAATAGTTTTTTGAAGCATCTCTACACAATTATAAATAGGGGTGACCATAGTCACTTGTAATCAATCAAAATCAAGTAGTCTTCTTATATATGAAAGTTCTTCTATTCAAAATATTTCTTCTCCTTTCTAGATTTCTCTTCCTTAGTTGAATCATCCGATCTTAGTTAACGATTTTGGGCTAGAAGAAGGCTTTCCGAATTATACTTTTCTTCTGCTATTCTCTACAAGGTATCAGAGCCATAGTCATTTTTTGACTTTTAAATTTTATTCAAGATCAGGTTAGTGGTAGATTTAACTGGTTTGTCGATATGGATTTTAGCGATCGTGTTAATGGACTGGGATGGAGTTGTTGAATTAGTCCAATTACAAGGTATGGAACACATGTATGGAATCATACCTTGTGGGAGAGGATTTGTGGGATGTTGTTAATGGGAATGACACAAGTGCTCTTGCTGACGGACTGGAAAATAACAGTGCATACAAGAAGTGGAAGCAGGTTAATGCGAAGACGGTGTTCATTCTGAAGAGGACAATCTCCTCCGATTTATTTGATCACATTATAAAGTGTAAATCAACTCATGAGATATGGAGGAACCTCAATCACTTGTTCAACAAGAAGAATGAAGCTCGGTTGCAGATATTGGAGAATGAATTGGCTAACACCATTCAAGGTAATGTTTCTATCTCAAAGTATTTTTTGAAGATTAAGAAATGTTCTGAGATATCTTCGTTGAATCAGGCAGAGGCTATTTCTGAAGCACGAATGAGAATAATTGTCATTCATGATTTGTAGCATGAATATATCCCATTTGTGACGTCGATTCAAGGATGGTCAACAACCATCCTTGGAGGAATTTGAAAATTTGTTGTCGTCACAGGAATTTTTAGCCAAGCAGTTGGCTAGTGTGTTTGTAAAAGACGGAGAAGGAGATGATCTTGTAGCTAACAAGAGAAACTTCAAAGGAAAATCAAGAGATATGTCGCACTCTCGATCCTCAGGTGATCCTGAAAAGAACGAAGTGTCTTCCAACTATTATGGAAAGAAGCCTCTTAGATGTTATCGATGTGGAAACATAGAACACATAAAAAGATATTGCCAAGCCAAAGAGAGAAATATGGCACACAAAGTTGCTTAAGAAGAAGAAGAGTGAGAACAATGTTTAGTAGCTGAGGCTCGAGCAATAGATGCCATGATTTCCATCTTGAAAAAGAATGGATCGAGGATTTAGAATATAATATATTCGATCACTAAGAGAAGCAAGAATCAGATGTTGTCGACATGAACCAAGTATTTTTTGAATATTTCCAAGTGGTGATATGGAAGCTTCTATTGAAGAAATCAACGAAGAAGGTCTTGAACATGCAATATTTGAAACTATATGTGCTAGTGGCGACCTTTATAGTGAAAGTATTGATGGAGAAGTATTGGAAGCGAAATTATCTGGTCAACCATCTGCAATATCAAGGCGAATGTGTGACTCGAAGCAATTTGTGAAAGCGGATGGAGAAAGTAAACATCAAATAGAGAATGAAATTGATATTGAAGTCTCAAGGACAAATTATATGATTTTTGAAAGTTCTGAAGATGCCAACAAATCTATCAAGGAGATGATAGATGAATATGACAGTATATCATATGTAGGTCTTGAGACTTTACAGGAAATTGATAGTGTTTTTCTGGATAATATAATAATGGAGAAGTTAAGAAAAAGGGGGAGTCTGAGAACTCAACAAGGAGATAATTTCCATGGATCAATTACTAATGAGGAATCTTCATCAATTGAAGAAACAAAAGGACTTTGGAAGAAATTGAGACATGGCGCCAAGCTTCGTTTGAGTTCTTCTACGACAAGTGTGGATAGTTTCCAAAAATAATCACTTTATAGAATTGGGTAGAATAAATATATTTGATATTTACACTTAAAGAAAAATCTAGATAATTATATATTTAGAGTAAAGTATAGAAAAATCTAGATTTTGTTAGATATTTAGAAGATAGGGTCATCTAGATTTTTCTTGTAGGTCTTTCTAGAAGAATTTCTAGAAGCATCCCTATACTAGTATAAATAGGGGTGACCATAGTCACTTGTAATTCAAATCAAGTAGTCTTCTTCTATATCAAAGTTCTTCTATTCAAAATATTTCTTCTCCTTTCTAGCTTCCTCTTCCTTAGTTGAATCTTCCGATCTTAGTTAACGATCTTCGGTTAGAAGATGGATTCCCAAATTATACTTTTCTTCTGCTATTCTCTACAAATAGAACCTTAGTTAAGCTAAAGTGTGTCTTTGGAATTTTGAACATAGTCTCGGACTACTTATACATTTTCCCAACAATTTAATAAGAAAGGTTGATAGTTGCATGACTTGAAGAAATTATAAATTTATTAGATGCATAAATTAAATTTCCAGATTACTTGGATAATATACACCATGACTTCCCAAAACATAAAATATATAAATAGTTCATTTATTAGAGGGAAAATGCACAAGTACTCCCTCAACCCAGATTCACACTTATACTATACAAATGTCCTATTAACCCATGAACTTATTTTATCAGTAATTTTAACCCTTTTCGACCTACATGGCACTAGCTTGAAAAAATAGTCAACCAGTGTTGGACCCACAAGATAGTGTCACGTAGGCTGAAAAGAGGTAGAAAATTAGTAATAAAATAAGTTTAGGGGGTAATAAGACCTTAGTATAGTATAAATGTGTCTTTGAGATTTCGGGCATAGATTGAGGAGGCACCTGTAAGTTTCTTTGAATTTACTTGCAATCCCTACCAATTGTC